TAACTATGGTTGAAAGTTATAACCATGGTTGATAGTTATAACTCTAGTTATAACCATTTTAACTTTTTCCGATTTTCTCAACTTTTAACTTTTTCAAAAAACAGTTTTAACTCCCACACTGATTTCATCACTCAATATCACAAGAATGAAACAGCTAGCAACTGAACACAATTGACCCGATAATCACATTCACTGTAAATCAAATTAAATAAATGAATTCATCTGAGTATACCTAAAGCTCTAGTTAAAAGTTGAAAATCGATTCAATATACTCAATTGAATTAAATTCAACATTGCAACGAAAATGAAACAGTCTAAAATAGATGCACAATATTACTTTCGTAGTATAAATGTACGGACTTCTTCAGAACCTAAAAATATCAACGATAGAAAAGAAAAAAATTCTGTATGTTTCTTTCTTTAAAGTAACCATGACAACCAGATTGGATAACTAGTATAATAGAAATTCAATTCAAATTTTTCTAAAAACTTTTATTTTTTAAAGTTTCTTTTTAATATGATTTAAATATTATTTAACAATAAGAACTATTCTATTTCATCGATTTTTTCGATTATAACGAACAAAACTTGACAACATTGCCGTGTTCAGTCAAGCTAGGAGTTAAATTTGTTTATATTCATGTATTTTTTCGATGAACAAAACATTCGTTATAAGCCCAATGTGCGCAATACAGACAAAAGTCACGTGATCGTAAGAGCAATTTTTTTTAACTGTGAACCTATAGGCGCACATTATAAACATCCACATCCACATATAATATATAATTGGCAACTTACTGAACCTTCATGAACATCAATCACTTACATTTAGTATATTAGATATTATGTAAGTTGTATAAGCGTGAACAAATTTGATTAATATGCATCTCTCAATATCAAGGGGGAACAAACTGATTACTAATACTAGTAATCAATTTGTAATCACTAGTAATCACCAGTAATCACTAGTAATCACCAGTAATCAGTTTGTTCCCCCTTGCTCAATATACTATGTATTGTAAAAATTAATCCTATGGGATTTAGGATATGTATCATGGAAATCTATAGCATGACTTCACAAATAGCTAGATTACGGAAATCTATTTGAAATATTTCATAGCTAGATATTTGCATTTTATTTTAATATTTTTAGCTAATATTACAGCAAGATGTGTTCAACAAACTCCAGTCCAAATTTAGAGGGTCATGATATTGCTATTCAATCAGAAAATATAACTGTTACAGATGCAGATATTGACAAACTTCAAAGTGCTTTACCACATAAGAAAAAAGATTCATCTCGTCACGAACTAAATGTTAAAAAAGTTGCTCAAGATCTTCTGCAGCGCTCTTCTGGTATTATTTCCATGGATTCTTTGATGAGAACTATTGAAAGAGATGCTGCTAATTATCTGGTCCATGAATGTTTATTCCACTGTACTGATGATTTATTCGAATATTCTGATGATGTCGATCCAGAAGGATATATCAAAATTGTGCCCGATGATATTGATTTTCAATTTCTTAGTCGTTTTGCTAGTTTCAAGATAGATCCAGTATCATACTTCAAGAACATTGATCTTCCACAAGTATGGAAATCTCGTTTATCTACCAATGGAATTAGACTTTTACGTACTATGAAATTCTATCGACAACTCTTGGATTCAACACCATTTGAATCACCTTCGAATTTTCAACTTATTAATGACCACAATAAAGAATTAGAGCAAATGTCTTCATCAATTTTAAATAGTCAATTGCCGCAAAAAACAATCACAAAACGGTAAGTTTAAAAAATTACTGTAAGTTATTTTTGATAAATTAATGATAAGAATTATTCAATAAAGTAGAAATAGAAAACTCAGCATGACTTGAAAAATATTTTTAAATATACATTTTACTTCCTCATGGTGCTCATCACGTTACTTATATACAGAAGTTCCTATCATTCTAATGTAGAGAATACTCAAAAAATCGTACATTCCAGTTTTAAGTTTTCAAAAGTTCCCTAGTTAACAAGTCGAATCGATTTTACGATTTCCACATGTATGTTTTTCTATATTAAATATTTTAGTAATATCCAATGTCACAGCAGTACATCAACAACTGTCCTCACAATGTTTAAGAAAACCATGTCATCAAGCCGGTGTATTTTCAGAATGTCGTCAACATATGGAATGGACAATTTTACATAGACCTGGTTGTGGACTTAACAACAAAGATGCAAAAGGAGCTTGCAAAAATATGTGCTATATTAATGCTATAATTCAATGCCTGGCTAATACTGCTCCATTTGTTCAATGGTTATTAATGGATCGTGGTCATGAAAAAATGTAAATGATGTAGTACTTGGGAATGCTTAAGTCTGAAGTAATAGTACCAATCTCAAACATTAGACAATTGAAAATAGGAATAATGAAGCCTGTTACCTGTAAATTATCTATAGTAATGATAAGAAATAACGGAGACATTATTTTTGATTTGGAGGACGATTTAGAGATGTCTGTCTTTTCTTCCATGGGTGTGTGTGTCTGTGTTGCTATAAAGATTTCATGTGATATGTATATTTTAGAAGGATAAATTAAACTTATTATTAGGTGCTGAATAATAAATATTGAAAATGTTTTTCATTTTAGATATATATTTTAAAATCAATTGTCTCTTAATGACAAGGGGGGAAAAGCGCGACTCCAGTATGTGGAGTACCATTGAAGTACCATCGGAGTACCCTTGGAGTACCATTGGAGTACCATTGGAGTACCTGACACTGGTACTCCAATGATACTCCAATGGTACTCCAATGGTACTCCAATGGTACTCCAATGGTACTCCAATGGTACTCCAATTGTACTCCAATTGTACTCCAACTTTTTTTTGGAGTACATGGAGTCGCGCTTTTTCCCCCTTGCTTAATGATCAGTAAACAGAACTGTTTAAAAATTATTGGACTAGGCGATACGAGATCATAAAATATATCAGCTTAAGAGATTGTTTTGACACCCTAGAATCCTATCAAATAATGTCAAGTATACTCGAAAATTCTCTAAAATTTGTATTTAAAAATTCTTTTGCTTCTTTGGGTGTAAATTTTTGTCGAAAAAAATTACTACTGATTTTTTAAGCTTTTATTTTTGTCTATTTTTTTCTCAAAGTTTATGAAAAAAAGAATTTTTTTAACAATAATATCTGCCATTTTGAATTCATACATAAAAAAAAGAAAGTACATATTAATGATTTTAGTTTTTTTGCTAAAAGTTCATTAATTTTCATGGAAATGTATCAATTACTCCTCCTTTATGTAATTTCTAATACAAGTTTTCAACGTCGAATGATGTCTTCTTCAGATAAAATAAGCTAAAAAATGATAATGAAGTAATTCCTTGTTCTACTTTCGTCCATATGCGAATCATATGGAAAACTGACAAAATGACCAAAGAATGTCTTCCGTTTCACTATCTTTTCTTTTCTTTTTCGTTTGCTTATCACTTTGACAATTGCCCATATGATTCTCATATGGAAGGAAGTAGACCAAATAATTGTTTTTTTCTTTTTTTCCAACTTATCTCATGTGAAGAAGACTTTATTCGAGCTTGAAACGTTATATGATAAAAAAAACAGAAGAAACCTAATTTGCTAAATACTATAAAAATTAACGAATTGACAATTTTTATCAAATTATGCATGAAGAAAATATAATAGAATGATATATTATACTTACTTTTATGAAAAGTATATTGAAACAAAAGTTTATTCGCTTTCGAAAATTACTATAGGTTCACTATTTTATGAAAATCATAATATAAATCCATTTTTTACTGTTCTGAAGTGTAAATCAACCATAATAAATAGCTGATTTTATTGGTTTCATTATTATTTTTTAGGTGATTTAATAGCTGATGGTCAATTTTGTTCTGTTTGTATATTATATTCAATAATTCATAGCATTCATAACAATATTAACAACGAATATACTTTATCATCTGTTCTTTCTTATGCAACTGCAGAATCACTTGCTCAACAAATTAATGAATTATGTTCAAGTTTTATTATTGGTCGTCAAGAAGATCCATCCGAATTTTTGATTTTTCTATTAGATCATTTTAAGAAGTGTCTTACTGCTACTGGCCCTTCCATTGATATTGATTCATTAGTAACTCCTATTCAACGTATCTTTGGTTTAAATACACAATTTGTATCAAAATGTAAAGCTTGCTTACTTGAATCAACTGTAGAAAATTGGGAAAGTGTTTGAACTGTTCCTATTTTTTCACATTCAACTCTTATTGACGCTCTTACAGCAAATTGCTCTGAAGAAATATTAGATGGTGATAATTTATATAAATGTACCAATTGTAAAAACAAGGTGCCAGCATCACGAAAATTTCAAATCATTCAAGCATCACCAGTTATTTTTATTTATTTACGACGATTTACTTATGAGAAATTTTCGAAAATGACTCATAAAATGAAGCAATTTATTAGTTATCCAGAAATACTCAATATTACTCCATATTTAAATAAAACAGTTCGAGAATCGAACAAAGAAAATAATATATTTAGTAATTTTACGTATAAATTATATGCTGTTGTTGTACATCTGGGTGAAAATGCTAATAGCGGTCACATCTTTGCTTATATTCGATCACCTGATGGTTGTTGGTATAAAGCAAATGATGAAAAAGTTACACGAATAAAACTAGATAAAGTACTTGCCGATAAAGATGCATATATTTTGTGTTATGCTAAAGCACCAATTGGTACAATGGTTTTAACTGATACAGAACTGACAATAAATCCAATGCAATCGTCATGTTTATTTACTTCATCAACACCAATACGTCCCAGTAAACTTTTTAATAATATTAAAACGAACTATTCAACTGTGAGAAAAACATTTCTTCCAAGTTATACTTTTAGCACTTTGTCATATATTTAGACAAGTTTACCAAAACATATTTTCGTTTCTTCAAATGACAATCCAAAACAAGATCTAGCCGACAGTAACCTACATTCAACCAATTATTCTTCAATTTTGAACGACAGTACGTCTTTTTTACTTCTTCTAAAAGTTATACTTTCTTTAATTTTACAAATACAACTCGACGAATCTTGTTCATCAGATTGTTCAGTTCCTGTCAAAATTCAATCTTTTGAAGAAAATATAACAGAATGTAACAATTTACAAACAGAAAGTCAAATCGTAAATCTACGGAATAACAACAGCATTTTTAAACCTTCGAACCAAAAATTAAGCAGAGACATCAATAAACAACAAATTAATAATTTTCACGAATTCATTTCTTCTGGTGAACCATTGATTTCTCCACTATCTCGACGTGAACATCTTTCGTCAACAACACCTCAATGTGAACAATCGTTTTTATTAACATCTCAACAGGAACAATTTTCATCATCAGTATATGAACTTGAACCGCTTTCATCATCATTCTCAAAAACTATCTCTTCAAAGATTTCTTCAAGTAAGTGTCCTACTAAATTCTTTTTTGAGTGAATAAAAACTGAAGAATAATAAGACATCAATGATCATCAATGTAAATGTTTTCATCTGTTCTTTATTTCAAGAATCACTATTTTTCTTGTGAGGTGTTTATCATGAAATTTTTAGAAAAGACAATATTTCAATAACTATTGAACATCTGAGAGCAAGTTTTCTAGATTGCTTTTACAGTCGGCATTAATTAATTTAATGGATCTAAGTCCATTTGTAATCGTAGAAATGGTTTATGTATGATTTGAAATTCCTGTAAAAATGAGTCATCTCAATGAAAAAAAAATAAAAATCAACTGCTTTAGTATTACCTCCTGATGAACCTGAAGATTGAATATTTTCACTCATATATCAAATTTCTGAAGCTCTTAGTTCTGCTATCTTGAAATAAAAAACATATACAAGTATACAGGCATTTTCCAAGATAAAATATTCCTTCAGAAATAGATAAAGTGTTGTTTCTTGATAATTGATATTATTTCAGGTATCGAGCAAAACGTGACTGTCGAAGATCTACAAGTTTATGATGATTTTATTGCTGAATTATCTTCATCTTATCCATTTAAACTTCAACCTGTCGATCTTGCTAAATTGCTTATGATTAGAAGTAAAAAGATCAACAAGAAAAAAAATCGTCTTTTAGAACAAATGGGTTTATCCAATGTAACTGACAGTACACCTACTTCAAAAAAAAATTTTTATATCTCAACAAAGTAAAATAGTGAAAAGCACCATAAACAAAACTATCTTTAACGAAGGTAATATTCGTCGACATCAAGATATTTTTACATTAAGTCAAAAGGACCAGCTCAATATAGTCGTTGAAAAAATATAAAGATCACTGGATTACAATTTAAAACAATAATAAAAAGGTTTCGTTTCAACTTGAGCTGATATTATTATTAATTTTATCAGATAAAATAAATGAGAATAAGAAAAAAGTCGAATTCGACTTGAATCAGTGATGCAACAATATCAATACGATATTGGGTATTAATATTGACATTGACATTGCCATAGCTATTCCTGCTGCTATTGCTATTGCTATTGCTATTGCTGTTGATAGTATTGGTATTGTTACATCCATAACGTTGATCTAGTTTCTTGTTGTTGTTGAATTCTTATATAAACAACCTTTATTTTGATTTTAATACCTTTGTGCCAAAATCTCTTTAGTATATCTGGTTAGAACACATGAGTACTTGATTAAATCTGGATTATCTTGAGAATGAGGATGGCAATAAGTATCTCAAAGATAGACGTTGTTTTGTTACTTTAAAAATTGACTCCATCATATTATCTCTTTTTTTATTTATATTTTTGAGATTTACCGGCAAATGTCGCAGATGAAGAAAAAAAGCGATCCAAAGTTGACGTTGAATATTTGTACATATTGTTACCATATCTTAAACAATTTAACAAATATTGTGGTTTATGCGTAGGTATTTGTACTTTTAGTGTAACAAGTGCCAATCACCGCCAATTACTTCGCTGCAATTTACGATGCATTGACCATCCTGTATGTCCATTTACATGTTCGGTTATTGTACAAAATAACGGCGCTAGCTATGTAGTCGTTACCAATCGAAATATTCGACATGCTCGTGGTGTAAAGATTTGCCGTCCTATTCGAAAACCTTTACGATCATTACTGAAAAAGCAATTTGTTCAAGGTGCATCAGTGTACAAAATTCATCAAGAAAAATTACAAAAACGAACACTCGAAGAAAAAAAAGGTCAAAATTATGATGGTATTAGCAAAACTCATAGTATTTTATGTAAGATAAAATCTGAAGGTGTAACAGAGTCGTTGTTAGCACCAGATGTTGATCACGCATTATTCAAATTGTTCGAAAAATTTCAAGCTGAGATTAATCCTGATGGAAAAGTAGCAGGTGTTATTCAATTTATATCCAAATATCCCAGTCAAATAATTGCTTATTCAGAAACATCTATTCGTTTATTTGATGTGCTTCTGAAGCATAAAAATGTAACAGTCTCCTGGGATGCAACAGGAAGTATAATTAAAGAAAAAAGTTCTCGTCGTCTTCTTTATTATGAATTAGGTATTACTTTACTTGGTATTGTTAATGAAGATAGTATTGTTCCAATAACGTTCATGATAAGTGATGCCCATGCCTTAGTTAATATAATCCATTGGTTGCAATTGTTTAAACATAGTTATTCGCAAGTAAATTTTTTATTTTGTTGCAATGAATTCTATATAGGAACACTAATTTGAAGTGTATCAATTAATAAGAGTTTAACTTGAGATAATCTTCTTAAAAAAAGATTAATAAATAAAAAATGAAAATTAAATGTAGAAAATGGAAATATCTAAAAAAGTCCATGTAAAACAAATGATTGGATTTCTAAATGAGTCATATATAATACCTTTACTATAATTCCTGAGAACTCATCTGAGTACTACTACTCATTAAGAAAATGCGGATAAGTATTTTTGCATAATTTTTGATAAAAACAGCAGAAAACATTGAGATTTTAACCATCGATAAGAGAAAATGAAGACGTACCGTCAGAAGTAAAAATGCTATACTCAATGAAATTTGCTAATATATCTTTATACATACTTAAAAACATACTCCTAAAGGAAACAATAAATTTTATTATTTGACATTGATTCAGTTTTTTCTGAGAATGTTATTATCTCATTAGATTTTTATTGGAAAACAATTTCCACAACCACAAATTGTTTTGAGTGATCGTGCACAAGTATTTTTAATTGCATCTTTGCGAATATGGAATAATGAAATAATGAATGACTTTTTAAATCGAGCTTATCGAATAATAACAGGTAATGCCACAGATTCTGATCTTCAAAAAACCAATATTCATGCCTGTCTAGCACATGTATTACTAGTAAATATTTCTTGATAATGTATTGTTTTACTTTTAATATTTTGATTATTATAGGATGCTAGAAAGATCATAAATAAATATATTCCCGAACGGTTTCGTAATTTTGCAATGTGGTGCATTGCGCTTTTAGTTAACACATCAGTTTGGTGTGAATTTATGAATAACTGGCAATTAATATGCTTTGTATTTTTACAGTTACATTTGGGTGAGAAACATATAAATGCATCATATCAAGATGCATTGATGGACAAAATAAGTAAGATCCATAATGATCCAAATACGAGTAATATCATTAAAGCCAGCGACAATGTTCAACACGATGATGCAAGGATAATATTCAAATCAAGTATTTACGATTTTAATGATAGTGACGATGAATATATTGATGAATTATCGGAAAATATTTCAGCATCAAAGAAAAAAAAAATAAGAAAAAAAAAAATAAGGATTTTATGAATTCTCAAAACATAATTAATGAGCAATATTCCTACTTCGCTTGTTGACCATAAATATGCATAAAGAGTAGTCATACACTAATGTATCTGTTCTTAATGGTGATCTTTTTCTTCTCTATAGCTTTCTCAGTCGTCCTTTTAGTATATGAACTGCTCGTTTGATTTGTTCTCTTTTTTTCTCTCTCTCTCTTTTAATCTTTTTAACTCTTTGATCTTTGTTTTTTTGTCTTTTTTTTAAAGGAAATGAACAGTATCGAAAATTTAGAGAAGTTATATTGGTGCTTGTTCTGGATCTTCATGGCAAGTTGAGCTCCTATTTATTGAACACATATTGATTTTTTACTTTAGATTGTCACGATGCTAATAAATAAGCAAGATTATAACTTTTCTATCTTTTCGATATCAATTGGTTCGTTTGAAGAGTAGAAAAGAAAAAAGCTCAAAAGTCTAAAAACATCAAAGGAAAAGACAGAAGGATAATAAAATAAGTGAACAGCTTCTCTATCAAGAGGATAATTGCGAGAGTTACATTAAAAAAGAATACCTTTTGCAACAAATAAGTTCGTGCCTGGTCATTTTGTATACATGTCTGTGGACAACAAGCGAATTGGGGAACATTATTTATTAAGTCTGTTTCAGAACATTTTCTGAATTTCAATCAATCTTCATTTTGACTAAATTTGTATTCATTTTTAAAATAGGTTATAATTGATGAAGAAAAAGAAGCAAATGCTATGGATTCACCTTTTAAATCCACATTCAATCGAATATTCCACGATGCTCTTACTACATGTGGTTTATCAATAAAAGAATTTCAAGGTATCACTGCTCGTGGTATCCTCAAATGATTCAAATATTTAATAACTTTCTTTATGCCTACAGCAGTAGTGTGGTTTAATTTATTGCTAGGTTGTACTTTTTACTTTGTAGCTATGTTGATATCAAATATCTTCTATTTTTTTATAGGTGATCTTTCACGCCATCGTCGCCGAATGGTTCAATCTTTTGAAACAATGACTATTCATAAAGAAGAACAACGTACTACTGCTATTAGTGAAAGAAGAATGGGAATTTTGAAACGTACTCAATTAGGTAAAGCAAAACATGATGTGTAGTATGAGTAATGAAGATATCGATACAAGAAGATTGTAGATAAGAGTTTTCAATTAAATAAGTGAACGTAATATGAAAGTCATCGAGAAAAAAAAGAGGTAACCTAGATTCAATAAGATTCGTTATTAATAAACATGCATCAAATCCGATTACAGTCAATCCAATCCTTTGATTTAATTGAGTTTGACTGAATTTGGGTTTGATGTATATCTAATTATTATTCGTTCAGAGCTAATTATTACGATTGATCAGTTGCGAAGATTTGTTAACATTCGGCAAGATTCTCTAAAATATGGTAGCAAGATGCATTATAATAGGCCGAGGTTTGTAAGGATCTACTTAAATTCTTCGTGATCTAAGAGCATGATTCATCAGATTCCTATAAAGTTCGTAATAAGCGTATAGGAAATCTGACAAGATCGACCTAGATTGATAACGTTGTAGTACGTCATGACAAAGTTTATCATTAGGGTTTGGAAAGATGGACTGAATTATATTCATCTCTTCTTTTATATTAACTATGTTTACTATGTCAGGTGGTGAAGTACAAATGAGAGTCGATGTATTATAGTCAATCTTAATACCTGATATGTTATCGATGGTTGATGAATTTTGGAATGCATTATCAAACTATTGTACAACATCTATTGATGACTCAAGTGCTGATAGTACCATTCTATTTGATGAACAACGTCTTAAACCTATTGAAGAACGTTGGAGACAAAGAGTGTCGAAGAGAGGTCATGGTCATTATACTAAATGTCCTGATGAACCGGTTTTCAATGATCTTTTATCCTCTTTGTTAGTGTCTCAAGTAAATATAAATGAAAATATTAAATTACCTGTTATCAGTCCAAATTGGTTAAATGTTGCAATCGGGTTGTTGTTATTGTTAGGAAACCACACTATTCGTTATCAACGATTAACATTTTCGTCAACAAATGATTCTTCTATATTATCTACTATTTCAACTTTTTTTGATGACTGGCACACTTCATCAAAAAATCATATAATATCAACATAAATTAATTTTTCACTACCAATAAATGAATCAAATATGCCACTTGAACAATCCGCATATATTTTTAAAAAAATATTAATACCATTGCTTCCATGTCATTTAATCATCAACAAAGTTTATTCATGTAAGAACTGTCAATCAACAGTAAAGATTCGTAGTACAATTACATCGATAACTGTCAACATTTCAAGGAGTGTTCTGTATCTCGAACGAGATTTATTTGATTTTTTCAGCCCAACAACATCCGATATGCTTTGCTCATTATGCAACAAACCTACCATACGTCATATCGAAGTGATAGCATGGCCACAAGTATTCTTAATTAGCACTAATGGCTCAAAACAAATTGTAAAACATCGAAAACCACCTGGTGCATTATCACTTGTTCGGTTTTCCAGCTGGCAGGCTGTTGGTTCTCCATCTGCAAGTATATATGATTTAATATGTTTCAACAGTGTTCTACAATATGGTGAAAA